AGCAATTTTTGACGGAATCATTGAAAATGTATTATTGGCTTGAGTTCATATTTAAAAAAATTTTTTACATGGGATCTTTTTTCGTAGGGTTATGGGGAAAGTTGTAGCAGATTGAATTTTCTGAAAAAATTTATGACAGAATCTTTGCTACATCATGAATTTTTAATATGTCAGAAACACTTTTTATGATAAACATTTCTTATTTCTCAAAAAGTTTTCTCCACTTTTCTGATATAAAAATGAGTCCCAATTAAAGTTAGCCACTCTTTGATTCTAGCGACAAAACAATTTGGCGGTTCTTGGCTTTGGGTGTTAAAACTTGGCGGCGATTTCAGTAATAAATCGAATCTCGATCTAAAGCTATAATTGTCCCGCTCCAGAGTTTCGTGGATAAAAATTTTTTCAATTGGGATTTTGCAGTCAGTCTCTCTAATACTCAAAAACAATTGATTATACTCGATTCAAGGTTAAGGATTAAAGGTTAAAAGTTGATTGATGGTTGATTAAATGTTAAAAATGAAAACTGACTATGGTTGTCATGGCCTACACCCAATTTTTGTTATCAATGCAAACAGATAAATTACTCTTTCGCAAGCAGGCGAGGGAGGGAGGAAAAAAGAGCCAAAATGCATTATATTGTTACTGTTTTCAAAATCAATAAAATCCATTATCAAACAATTATAGTCGATTTTTATTCCAGTTTTCCATGGAAATGTCGGAATATTTGTTCTCAGTTTTTTTTTTCAAACGAATTTTGAGATATTAATAAGCAATTTTTGACAGATTGGTTCGAAATACATTTTTCTCTTGGGCTCAATTTTAAAAAAAAAGTTTTACCTGCGATCATTTTTTTTTGAATTATAAGGGTTTAAAGATTGACAGCCTGGCCAGTTTGGGACAATTAAACCCAAATATATTTCAAGCTATTAAAGCGTAAGCGGAGCTTTAATCCGTCTTTGAATTTGTTTCAAATTGAATTGAGTTATGTTATTTAGTTTAATCAATATTTTGCAAAAAAATAATCTTGTAATTTGTTTTAAATTTGAGAACAAAAAACACTTATATATTGAGATTATATTGAGAACAAATTCCATTATATTGAAAGCAAAAAAAAAATTGATCAGTTATAATGGGCTTAAATGAATCGTTTTTTTAAAAAGAAAACAGTCATTTAAAAAATACTGTCAAGATTTTCGCTGAAACATTAAAAAAAGCACCCTTCCCCTATTTTGCATTTTGGGCTATAACTTGTTTAGAAAAAAGAAATAGCCCACTACTTTCTTACAAAATTATATTTTTTTTGCAAAATTTGGGTTGCTCCGCCGTTTCTCTGCGCCTGCTTTTTTGCTATTTTTTACATTCTGAACCTTTATTCTTATGTTTTCATTGTCCTTGATAATAGATTCTGTCAATTACAAACACAATGGTCAGTAAATATTATCTCGGTAAATCAAATGAAAAAATTGATGATTAGATCTGGTGGTTGAAACGATAGAAACGTAAAAATTGATAAACCGCCATTCAATATGTGAGAAAAAAGCTCTTTTGGCTCTTTTTTGATCCCTCTTCTTCATAAAAGCAGTTATTTTATGGTGTACCTAACATTTTACAAGGTTTTACCGAAGGTGGTGTTTGAGACATCCTACTTATTTGGTACGCGGTATACACAATTAAGAGCAACTCGAGTTCAGCAAAGGCGCTAGGTTAGAACATTTTCGTATAATAATAACTTCTTTTAAAATTGTGCTCAAAATAGGTTACAGTAGATGACCTCTTTAATTTAAATAAAAATATGTAACTTGTTGATTTTTTTTTTAAGTTTCAAATATGATCTTTGCTACAGGAAATTGTCATAATAACTCTTTACAATAACGTTTTAAGCATTTCTTTTTACCCATAAAACTCTTTTCCGCTGTCGGAGAGGACGAAGCCTTTAATGTTCTCAAACAGTCGCAAACAGTTTAATGGAACTTATAGTGTATTGTCTAAAGAGTTTTTAAATTTTAAATGAATCTTAAAATTTTAACTTGTTTTATAAATAAAGCCAGAATTGCACAAAACATTGGGAAGACTGAATTATTACCTTAAATTTAAGCCTGTGGTACTGCTATGGCAGTACCCAATAGTTTAAGAAATATTGTTAATTAATACAACCTAATGACGGTCGTTATCAAAATCAACCATGGTTTTTGATCTTAGAGATCACTGTCACATTCAGTGTGTTTCTTTATAGATTCTAATGCATGACTATTTATACATAGTTATTCAAAAGTTTTCAACATTACGGACACGCTGTACTTACATACCAAGAAGTATCACATGGCGCAGCCAGCAGTGATGTTTGCAAATCAAGAGAACAAAACAGACCTAGATTTTCCGTTGGGCATCGTCTCAAACGACTCTCCGTGGCTAATCAAAACATTAAACTATCTGATGTGGTGAAAAGGAATGGAGCTCCTAAGAGCTCCAGCACGCACAACGCCCAACATCAAAGCTACGAAGTCCGCTCATTTTCCAAAAGGTTCGATATTCAATATTATATATATTTTGAAATTGAAACAACTAACGAGTGTGAGTGACACACTATTCTAAATGGATGTGTTGCTGTTAAAAAAATATTTTGGCGTTAAAATTGTTCTAGTACCTCTGAAGATTTGGGTTGTATGGCGTTTACAACCAAATACATCCGGCTACGCTTCGACCATGTCAGTAACATCAACAAAAACGTCAGATGAGATGGGAACCCCTCGCAGTGGTAGCTATTGATACAATTATAATTGTTTATAATCGGTGATAATCTATTATTTTGTATCCAATTTGTAATTCAGTTGTTTAAAGAAAAACATTTTAGTCGATTGTAATAGGTTATAATCCCTTTTGTTAGCTTATTTTTTTCCTCGACCTGGCATCTGAATTGCCTATTTGTGTGCTTATTGTAAACATTGACTTCACGGTTTTTTGGAAGGTTTATTTATTACCAACCTCGTGAACTTTCCAAGTAATATGAAAAAATCTCTATGGAATTTTTGTTTTGTGGTAAAACTTTGTTTCAGATGAACAAAAGTCTGACAAGACATCTCACTTTCAGAGATTTTGTTTTTGGTAGATAAATAATAACCCATAATTTACAATTTAATTTATACTTTTGTTGTGACAAATTTTTGTGACAAAAGAGATTATAATTGTTGTCACAGAATAGATTATAATCGATTATAACCAATCATAAATGATTGATAGAGTTTTTGTATTAACTTTAATTAGTTATATTTGATTGTAAGAGATTAAAATTTCTTGGAATAAATCACGATTATAATCGATTATAAGTATTTTAAACACCTATTTTTAATAATTACAATCAATTGTGATTGTCAAAAAATTAACATACCAATCCGTTAGATTGATTTTTTACGGGAGCGTTCAGCAGTGCCGAAGTACAACAGTGCCGAAAAAGGCGGGAAAATAATAAAACGCATTTTCTAAAGAGCGGCAAATTACTGACGCTGGCTCTTTTTCCTTTTCCCACCACCTCCCACGACCATCAATTTTATGGTGCAACGAGTGGTTTTACAAGGTTAAATATGAAGACCAAATGTGTTTGGCACAACCTAAGTAGTCCGCATGTCAGTTTTCATTATGATCGGACAATGTGAGCAGTAACTTTACTGGTAAAAAATTACAGGTGGGGGGGGGGAAGGAAAAGAGCCGTGACGCTAATTAACAAAGAAAATCACTCCAACTTCGGCGCCCTTATGTCTGCAACTGCAAATTAAACATTTACTTTGGCGCCAAAACGTGTAAGCTGCAAATTTTCTTGATCTCACAATCTTAAAGTGTCACTTAAGATTGTAAAGATTTGTTCAAATTTTCGGCACTGTTGAACACAGTTTTCATTTTCGGCACTGTTGAACAAAGTTTTCATTTTCGGCACTGTTGTAGTTCGGCACTGTTGTACTGTCCCTTATTTACGCCTAAAATTGGATGCGGGAAACTAAATTTAAAAAGTATTCGCGCGTTCTGCTCTTTGTTTATCTAGAGTTTGTTTATCTAGTGCATCAGTTTGCAAAGGTTTCAGTTCTAGTGGACAGATCGGGAAAAAAACGTGAAAACTTTCCTTCTTTAATTTCAATCAGTATCTTCACTTCGTTCAAATACACCTTAAATAGAACGGACTTATATACACCTTAAATATGGGATAATCATTAATTACATAACCAGGTTTTCAACGTCGCGTAGCTGTCAACCTCAGATAGACGTGATCAGTTTCCATAGTCGCGACCAATTTTAGTCGCAAAAACCTACGTGACAAGAGATTTCGTGACAAGAGATTTCGAATACTTGTCACGAAAAACGCCCTACTTCCACCCTCAGGGATTCAAACCCCTGCCGACCCAAAGGTTCCCCCTTTGTACTATTTTGAGACATCCATTTTTGGTGACGGTCCCATAAACTTTTCTAAAGGCGCCTTCTGCTACAATGTATACTAACTTTGACGAGGAAGCGCGCTCCGACAAAACGCGATTTTTTGGACAACATTTTCTAAAAACTGCTTAAAAACGCATTTTCGTCCTGTTTTATCAAAATTTTGGCAGTTTAGCCAAAACAGGGTCTCTGTAGGGTTTTGAAAGAGCTCGGAAAATCATTTTGGTCGACCTAAAAAAAGTAGCACAACCCCCCCCCCCCCCCCCGCCCGAGAAAATCCTAGATCCGCCCCTGCCCCGAACGACTATGGATTTTTGGTCGATTTTTCTCATTTGGTTTGACTAAGTTCGATTTGATGATTTGACCCAGTTTTGGTTTTATTTCGAGCCAGTTCAATTAGTTTCTAAAAGAATCATTAAGCTTCAAATAAAACTCAAATATTTGATTCAGATTAATTTTAAGATACAAATTTGAATAACGATTTTAATAAATGGCTAACTAGAGAATTAATAATAAAAAACCTCATCAATTAGCTTAATTAAATCGTTTTATACATCGGCAAGCAATATTTTAGCTTCCTTTCGAGTGCTGAGATACGTGGCCTTGAGAATGAGCATTTAGCAAGAATTTTGGTGGGCTTTCATAACCGTTACTTGTAGTTTTTTAGCGCATTATGACACTCTGGCGTTCGGTGAGTAATAGTTTGATCGCAACAAAAATAGTTTAAATGTAAGGAGTAAATCTTAGTTTCAGTTGGTTTTCATGTTTTCTTCAATCCAGTCGCTGGTAGCGGAGACCCGAGTAGCCAACTCGTTGCCGAGAAGAGTAACACCACTCAGCACTCCAAACAAGCACACTGGTTTGTACTTATACTCTCCTTTCTTTCCAGGGTATGGCTCTGCTGAGAAGACAGGGCCGCCTGGTCATAAAAGACAATCATGTCCCATTCGAATATGATAGTTTATATAAATTTTATGTGATCAAACTTATTTTCATGGCACTTTTCCTCTCCATGCCCCCCCCCCACGTTTCAATATTTCAAGTTTTTTAGTTGTTTTACGTGCGATTACGGGCTAAATGCGTGACGATACGATGTCAGGTACGAAGAACAAATATGTTCACAATAGTTAGTTCACCATGCAAAACTATGGCAGCGTTGAATAAGTGAAATTCGAATGTTGGGGGGTGGAAGAGAGTCAATTTTATTAAAAACTATGACACTTGCATAATAGCACGGTGTAACTATTTGCTAATAATTTTTTTAAACTTAGTTTTTTTTTACCCCCTCCCAGTATGATTTGTGACTGAAACTCGAGATACAAAAACCTATATGAAATTACTTTCGGTGCTGTGGCTCTTTTTCTTTCCACCACCTGCAATTTTTTATGAATAAAATTACTGTTCACATTGTCCGATTGTCATGAAAATTGAAATGCAGAACAACTAAGCCATGTCAAACATATTTGGTCTTGTTAATCAACCTAGTAAAACCACTCGCTACACCATAAAATTGATGCTTGCGTGAGGTCGGGGTAAAAGACCGTTTATTCGATACAGTGAAGAAAGTACATTCTGCAAAATCATTCACTGCATCAGGGTAGCTAGAACAGGCTGTTCAGCCTAACAAGTAGCTACCCCCAGGGATAACTATTACAATTAAGCAACGACATATATAAATTCATGCTAATTAGAAAAAATTATCGATCAGCTGTACATTATCAATAATGTAGTTTTCCTGGATAATTTTTGAAAAAGTTTGACAGTTTTTCATCAGAGTAAGTTTCAATGTTATCTGGAAGAAGCCTATTGACATCAAAAAGTTGAAGCATTTCACAATTTTATAAGAGAGAGAATTTTCCATCATTTTTGTTTTGCAGCGGTAAAAGAGAATCATTCCATTTGAGGTAGAAAACGTACTTCTTCGATAACTGAACTTATTATTTTTCAAATATTCTAATGGAGAACGTTTCAGGTATAGGAAAACTGTCTCTTTCAACAATTGATTTAAATAGATTTTATGAACTGTTTCTAAACCAAGTTCATTAAATTTCGAAGTAAGATGTTCAAATTTTCGTTTAAAAAAAATTGTTTGCAGTATCCTTTTTCAGATTTGTTTTGCTAGTACTACCATATATTAGAAGACCATATGATATTATTGGTACCACATAAGCTAAATAAAACTTTAATAACATTTTTTTTGAAAATACACAACGGCCTTTGTACATGATCCCAATAAATCTTGCTAATTTTTGCAGACAATTTTAACATGCTCGTTAAATCTAAGTTGATGATCAATTTGAACACCTAAATATTTGAAACATTTAGTAAAACTAACATTTTCACCTCCCAGTGTAAATTTTGTATCAAAACAAGTTTCACCATAACATAAAATTTTACATTTTGTAGAGCTAATCGACAATTTGTTACGAATGCACCAGTCATCTGTTTTCCCTAAATCATTCTTAAAATCATCGGATGTTCTCGACGTTGGAAGAGATGCAAGAATGGCAGTATCATCAGCAAAAAGGCTTATTTCAGTCTTTGTTACGATGTTGTTAATATCAATGATATATAGTAAGAAAAAAAGTGGACCAAGAACAGATCCCTGGGGCACCCCACATTCTATTGGTTTTTTATAGGATCTACTCTTCGTATTTTCTACGTATTGCTGTCTATTTGTTAAATAACTTAAAATGAGATCATTAAATTTGCCTCGAAAACCATATGCATTTAATTTTTCTAAAAGAATTGTGTGGTCAACTGTGTCAAATGCCTTTTTCAAGTCTATGAAAAGTGCTAATCCCATATATTTTGATCTGTTGTCTTCCTCATAAAATCAGTTACCCTTGCAGTTGCATGGATGCAAGAATGTTTTTCACGAAAACCAAATTGCTCTGGTATAATAGTATTGTGTTTATTGATAAAAGACAACATTCTTTTATGAAGTTACTTCTCAAAGATTTTGCTGAAGAACGTCAGTAGGCTAATAAGTCGACAGTTGCAAGCACTTTGTTTGCTTCCATCTTTGAAAATAGCAATAATTTTGGCAATTCTGCATGAGTCGGGAAAATAAGCACTATCAATACATTTGTTGAAAAATTTCGCCGAGAAAACAGAGATGACCGGTGCACACCGTTTAATCATTTTTGTTGATAGCCCATCATGACCACAAGAAGATTTTGGTTTTAGGGCAGTGATGATTTTGTTGATTTCGTGTCCATCAGTTTTAAAAATTACAAAACTAGAAGGTTTTTTTTTTCCAAATGCCTTGAGGCAGATCCAGCTAAGGGTATAGATTCGCTAAGATGTTTTCCAATACTCACAAAAAATTGTTCAGGGTATTCGGTTCAACCTCGGACTAGGCTACTTTTTTATTTTCACAAAAGTTGTTCAAAACTTGAAACATTTGTTTTGATGATGACGAATCTTCCACTTTTTATTTAAAAAAAAACGCTCAAAAACCGCGCAAGATTTGAACGGTTTTGAGTGGTTTATCTAAAAAAAAACTGTCAAAAACCGCTCAATTCTCGACTCGGGTACACTCGAAAAATCTCGACTCGGGTACACTCTGGCATGAAACCTTGCTGATCTATTGACAAGAATTTAGCTAAACCTTGAATGAAGTGAGGCTTTTTGCTTGTATCAACAGTTTGCGAAGTTCGTTTGTAATCAAACCATTGAGACTTGACTAACAGCCTTGGGTCACTAACGGTGAGTAAATTATTCAAGAACGATTTAAAAATTGATCATTGTGACAATGAGTGGATGGAGGAAATGCAACATTCAAAAGATGAGCCGACGCCATTTTTTCATTTAAAAAATACTGGCAAACGATGTTGGATGTTGTGACAAAAAATCACGCCTGTTGAGCGATCGTCATGATGCATGTGTGGAGATAGACCAGGCAAAGAACATTCTGGATAAGTTAGTTACTGCTGCTGAAGTTTGTCAAATTAACTGTACTTGGGGAATGAATGATTTAAGTGTAATAACACTTGCAAATTAAGATTTGCTGGAAAAAGAACTCACCATCAGATTGAAAAATTTTACATTAATTTGAATTTTTGCAGCATGCTTATTTTCCTAGACAACGGACATTTGATTTTAAAACGAACAGGAAATCAGAAGCAGAGTACATGTTGACATATTGGAGCGGGGTTAAAACTCAATCATTTTGTGCGCTGGCAATTGAGTGTTGAGTCAAATCCTCTTCTGTCTTCGTCTATTTGCTCCTCTTGATATGCTAGCGCAAAAATTGGACTGCTCCGGCAAATCCACTGATTTCTGAAACTGCCTGTTAGTATGCAGTCTCTTCTACTCTGTCTTTGGTCAGCTGTTGGCGGCTTTCGTTGACATTAATTTTAAGCTCAAGTTGACTCTTCATCGACTGAGTTTTGATCTCCTGCTTCCTTAAACCAGCATAAGCCTCTGCCTGGCATTCAATTTCTTCGCAGGAGCTACTTTGTGTCGAAATTCGCTGGAAGTCAACAAACCAATCTTAGAAGCGCAGTTGAATGGCTTCTGGGAACAAACGAATTCAAATGGAACCAGAAATCGATAGTTTACTACATGATCACCTCATGTTTCAATCTTGTGGTCTGAAATTTTGTTTCGCTGAAACTTATACTCAGGGATCTCAGTGCTGAATTAACTTATAACTTAAACTTGAACCGTACTTAGATACTCTTGTAAATTTGTTTTGGCATTCAATGTTTGTCCTAAAAAATAGTTTTTTTTATACTGAGATCAATGACTAATTTGTTCAAAAACTAAAGAAACTTTGATTGCTGCATTACAAAAATACATGTCAAGGGAAAGTCTGATAACAAATGAGAGGACCACTTTAACAGTTATCCAGCTCTGTGCCTGGGGAACAGATTGAAAACAAACAGTTGGACTAAAAAAACTATCAATTTAAACAAACCTATTGCTTCAAGTTGTCTAAAATCGTTATCAATGAAACTAATTTTTCGTCGTTTGTATCAAGTATTAAGAATCCTGTTTGAACTAAAAATTATTCGGGTTTTTAGGACGTTATATGTTAACTTTATCCTCTATTAAACTTTGATTTCTTTTGGAGCGACAGTTATCTGTTTCCGTGAAGAATTTTTATCGTATTCGATATATGCTTGCTCGAAAATTTTAAGACATCTTGCCATTTTCTAATAGTTTTTCTTATTATTGCTTCGGGAGTTTTTAAGAAAGTTTTTTTGGTTAATTGCTTTCAAATTGAAACGAGAACCTGAAACTGAAATTAAGGATTCATCCAGTCACATCCGAACAGTAGTGTTAACGGTCTCGGCGGTATGCAGCCAAAAACGGGATGATTAGTCAAAATTTAAGTCATCGTACGTGAAAGAAAGTTCTACATCAAATATATTTTTGTGAAATTTCACTTGTGAGAGTCTAAGTTTCCAGTAAAGTTGCAGTAATTTATAGCCTAACAGGTATGGTTTAGCAGTTCAAAGTGACGGCGTTACGGCGAAAAGGTAGTGCTAACGATTGTAACGATGCGGAATGTTACCAACGACGGGGCGAGCCGATCAAAAGTTTTCAAGATTATCAAGCCACTGAATGAAACCGATGTAGGAATTTACTGAAAAAGCTTGCTCGACCTAGATCAACTAGGTCCCATCTAAAACTGGAGATAACCAGTTTGAAATAATATGGAAAAAATATTGATGCAATTTGAAATGCAAAGATTTTATGAAATGAGGGTCTAGCTGCTTACGTAGTGGAGCCGCCTAATACCCATTTTTAACCGAAATCAATATTTGGCTGGATAGTTTTTGAAAAAAAAAAGAAAATATATTTTTTAATTTTAAAATTCCAAACAGCGATAATTTCTCATGGCTTTTTCAAAAAATAGAAAAAAATCGAAAAAATAGGATGTAATTCTGCATCATGTGTTTTAAATCGATACATTAAACCTCAGAAATGGCGGAGACTGTTTTGAAAAAGTGTTCCAAGTCTCAAAAATTTGAAAGCTGCTTCAGCACGAAATTTTCTCAGAACCTGTTTTATCGACTGCATGCTTAGCCGCAGAGCCATTTACGCAGTGAGGCTTATGCAGTGCTCGACTAAACCCTCATTCTCGAAATCGACAGGGTAGTTTTTAAGAGTGAAAAAATTGAAAGTTGCAAATCGTAAAAGTTTTTTAAACCTAATTTTTGCCAAGGAACAAACATAGTTTCCTACAAAACTAAGGAGTTGCTACTACTGCGCAAAAAAAATCCCGCCACCTTATTCATTAGGCTGAAATTTTGAACTCGGATTTGGTCTCATGGGCCCAGCTGGAATGTCAGTTTGATATTTTTGAAAAGCTCGTTGATTTGACGCATGATGAAATGCGTAAATATCAAGAAGTCGAAAAATGAGCTACTCCTGAGACATTAGATGTTTCTGCGTTAAAATAAGTAATTAGCCAGAGGAGATGTCTACTGCCTACTCTATCAATCAGTTTTAATATCAATTTCCGAAGGAAAACAAAAATCTTCCCAAAAACAATGAAAAACACTGTTAAAAATTGGCATTTTTTCGGGACGCATCGGATTTTAAAAAGAGGTGTAACCGTTTTGGCAGGAAAGAGTTGTACGCCTCAATTTTTAAAGAGGGCGTTTTTGTATACAAATCTCCAAAAGACAATTAAAAAATCATTGTTTTGATTTTGTTGTTCAACAAAAAAATTGTAGCTAGGCTGCCTCTGCTGGAAAATTAGTACAACCTGTTTTTTGATTGAGTTCGTAGCCGCGGTACTATTTATGAAGGAAAAATTCCCATGATCATTTTTTTGTGAATGATTTTTTTGATCTCATTTTTACAAGGCTACTTTTGAGTAGAAGGAAAAAGTTTGAAAAAATTCAAGGATCAATGAAAGATTAAAGTTTCTCTTTTCTTACAAGATGTACCAAGTTTTCAAAAAGAAGAGTCGCAGCTTCCTGTCATAGCTACTTTTACAAGACAAAAGTAGCCTGTTCTTCAGATTGCACCCTTAATCTCAGATTTGGTAGAATAGTTTCTGAGAAAAGTCAAAAGTTTCCAACAGTGAAAAAGTCACTCTAAAATTCAATATATGAAAGTCTATTTGAAACTACTCTTAAGATTTTAAACTGCATTAAAACATGTCAGGTGAACTCACTTTTACAAAAATTTTTACTTGCAAAATGCCGTGTGAACAATTTTTGAACAGCTCAATTTTGTTAAACTGCGAGAGGTTGGGAAACTGGAAAAGAGGCCAAAACTCTGTCAACAAATAAAAACTTTTGACTTTTCTGCAAGTACTTACTTTTTTGTTAAAAATTTTTGGACGTAGCCATTCACGCAGGAGAATTTCAAGCAATTTGTTCCAACGTTTGAGCCCATTTCTCAGGTTTGAAAGCGAAAAGCTTCAAAACATTTAAAAAAAATTGACTTTTAAGGTTCGGCAGGGTAGTTCGCAAAGCTTGAACAAAATTTACAAATTTCAGAAAAATGGTTAGAAAAATTTACTATTCTGAGTGCCATAATTTTTTTGTGACCACGCTTCCTAGATCCAGGAGCTTCCCAAATCCATTTCTTGAGCTCTTAAGTTTTCAAATGGGAGAGTAGTTTTCAAGAAAAATTTTAAAAGTTCAAAAAATAGTCGTACAGTTGAAAAACTGACTTTTTTGAGGACCATAAATCCTTTGTGTAAAGAAACTTGTGCATGGCCAAAATAAAATTCAAATTTGTTTCAAATCAAAAATCAAGGGCAACATATTCACCCCACCGACTGAAGGCTGTAGAAAGGTAAGGTATTGTGGAATAAAAATGAGGGCTTTTAATCATTTAAAAATTGGTAAAAATAGTTTTTTGTAAAATGGAGAAAACTTCAAAGCGTCAAAAAAATCAACTCATTTTCATTCATTTTTATAATACTTGTTTTATTGTCAAACAGGAAATTTGATATTTTTTCCATCTAAAAAATTCTAGTTTTTGGATTGGAAAGGTAGGGATCTGATTCGTCTTTATTTATTGTGCGAAAAATGAAATCCGACCAATGCTGTCCAAAATTGAACTTTTTCAGAAACTTTAGCCCTTGATTTTGAGGTAGAGTGCTGGGGTTCAATCCCGAACTGCTCTTGACCTCAATTCCCGAATTATGCTCGTGTAAGACAAATCTTATGCTGAATCTGCATAAAATCTTTTTCATAAAAATTTTTTTTAAGACAGAGATTCGGTTACGGAATCGGTTAAGCCAGAGGGTTAAAATATTTTGCAACTCATATAAATTTCATGGAAATAGCAACTTTTTCAAAAAAAATGACAAAAGCGGGATTTTCAGGCCTGGTCTTGCATATGAAATCAAATTTAGTTCCAAACATATCGATAACATATTTTTCCAGGGGCGGATTTAGGGGGGCGGGGGCGGACGCCCCTCTCCTTCAAGGATTCGACTCCCTGCCCCCCCCCCCCCTTTGGTCCCCCCTTTGGTACTTTTTAAGAAATCAATTTTTGGCCGACCGACCCTTAAATTTTTCTAAAGGCGCCTTTGGCGCCAATATATACTAACTTTGAGGGGGTCTAGATTTTCCGTGGAATTTAGATGAATTCTTTTTCCAGCGCGCGCCAAAAAAAAATTCCAGCGCGCGCGATTTTTTTGTCAAAGTTTTCCAAAAAGGGCCGAAAAAATGTTTTTTTGGCCTGTTTTTTAAAATTGTACCTGCGGCGCAGAAAGTTTGGCCAAAACAGCATCTTTTTAGTGCTATAGGAGAACTCGGAAAACGGAAAAAGAACTTGGTCGACCTGAAAAAGGTCTTCAAAATGTTCTAAAATTTTTTGAAAATCCCCCCTCGAGAAAATCCTAGATCCGCTCCTGTATTTTTCATTGCCAACTGTTTTCTAATCAATTGCATTTGTATGTTGAGCCTAATCAGCATTAGTTTTACGTTTTCTATACTTTAAACAAGCAAAGCCCCGTCCCTTGGAGATCAAACCGTCAAGCCACACCATGGGCTAGCCAGTATTATTCTATATCTGTTTAGTATATGTAGCATTTTCGTTCTAATATAAAGTTAATTTCATAAATCTTTCTTGTTAATGTTATAAAGCATTGACATACAGGAAAACCAGATCATGGGATCAAAATGTAGATAAAAAAAGCTAATAATTTGAAACTCAGCATTTTACTCAGTTTACTTCAGAATTTTTCAGTAACTTTAATTAAACGAGGGGGGGGTGTGCAGAAGAGATTTAGGGAAGAAGGGGGGCGGGGCGCACGTCGTCCTCCTCAGGTATTCGACCCCTTCAACAACCAAAGGGTCCCCTTTCAGTATTAATTTATGAAATCCATTTTAGGACGAACAACCATTAAATTTTTTTCTAAGACGCCTTCGCCCCGCCCCATTTTATGGCATCTTTTTCCAATCCACCTTTTTTCCAACCCCCCTCCCCCATTTCAAATGTTTTATTTTTAGTTGTATTATGGGGTATTATGGCTGAATGCAATATTTTTTGAATTAAGGTATGAAGAAAAAATGTAATCACAATAGTTAAAATGTTCACCAAGCAAAATCTAATTGCATTATGACAACCTAGAGTTATTTAAATCTGTTATAGCAACAATGCCTATGTGTAGCTTTTTTATTCTGCTGTGAATTCTAATAATCAACATTTTAATTAATGTCTTGCTCGAGTAAATTATATTTAAAATTGGTCAAAATGTGTCTGTCAAAACCCGAAACGCCACAACTAGCAAGAAAAGACAACTAGCAAGAAAAGACAACTTGCAATAAAAGACAACTCGCATTAAGAGACAGCTCTCAATATATCAACGTCATTGTCGCACCAGCGTGCTGCGAGTTTGCCGACAGAGGGCAGAATTTTAATTAAAATCGGAGCCGGTTATTGCCGCAAAATGGCAACGCAGCTCTTCCAGCGGCGACCTTAAACCGAAATTTTCAAGTTAATTTAATTGCGAGTTGTAGCTGTTCTTAAATTTTGCGAGTTGTCGTTCGTTGCGGTATCGTCAGAACCATGCTCATGAAATTCAATCAACTAGCGAGCAACTAGGCAAAATTGTTTAAAAAAATTGTTGGGAACTCTTTTTTTTGAAACTACCTATCGTTTATGTTTTTTCCGCGCCATTGCTATTTAGCAAACTAATAAATTGAATTTTATTTTTAACCGGTGAAAAATCAATTTTTGAGCGTGAACATTTCCAACATTTTCCTAATTAAAAACAAAAACAAACACGCGACGTAAGTAGGTTTCTTAATTTCAATCAAAGTGGTTTGAAGCAAACCGATTGTTTCTGATGGTACCTGAGTCACCGTAATGTGTATTGGGTCCATGAAGACACAGGTGAAGCGCAGGCTTGTAAAAATTAGTGAGGCCTAGTTTCGGGTTGCACGACACATTATCCACGGACTCGTGTACTTCTTTTTCTTGAACTAAGCTGGTTTTTTTGCCTTCCAAGAACTTTCTGCCTTTTTGGATTAGATCTGCTGGTGGTTGCCCCTTTATTTTCTTAAATAAGCCTAAAAAGGAGAAATTAGTTATTTTAAAAAGTATCGATTTATTCTCGAAGCGAATCGATCTTCATGTCCAAATGTTTTATCTACTTGTCTACAAAAATCAATTGGTTCGCAAAAACAATTGTTGTTTTTATCAAGCTATTCAAGCAAGTAAACTTCGAACTTTTTCAAATTAAGCCATGACGTAAATTGGCATGAAAAATTTTAAATTTCATACACCAAATCCGTTCGCAAAAATTTAAACTTTCTAAGCTAGCTATTCAAGATATGTAAATAAAGATACTTCAATTATATAATGAAGCAAACTGGATGGCAGAAAGTTCGGACAATTTTTGAAGCCATTCAAGCAAACCAGTTTTAAAATCTTTCTCAAATTTTTTCTTATACTGAATCGTCGTCCAAAAAATGAAATGCTTTCCAATTCAAGCTTTCCTAAGCAAACTATTCAATCAAGGAAATTTTGAAACAATTCAAGTTACTCCATAGAGTGTATTCGTCCGCAATTAACCAATTTCTTAAAAAAACTACGAAAGCTAATAAGTTTTAGAATAACTCAAGTTATTCAACAACAAATTGGTTCGTTGAAAGTTCAAGTTGATCTTAAGCAACTACTCGAGATACAAATTTTGAAATATTTCAAGCTATTTAAGGCCAAAACAGTTCGCTAAAAACTCAAGCTTTTCGAAGAAAGTAGTTCAAGCTAAAAAAAATCGTTGAAATGCTTCAAACTATTTCATGAAGCAAATCTTGTGGCAAAAGAACTTGAGTTTTTTCTACTGAACTCATTGAAAAAATGAAATTTTGAAATGATTCGAGTTAATTCACAGATAGAATCGTTCTGCTAAGTGTTCAATTTTTTCTATGCAATCTATTCAAGAAAGACAACTTTGAAATATTTCAAATCAAGTATTTCACAGAGCAAATCAATAGTTCAAGTTGTTTCTTAGACCGAAAAGTCTAGGACGTGAACGTTTTCCTATGCAAGCAAATTATCAAGGAATGCAACTTTGAAAAAAAGTACAAGTAGTTTCATTGAGCGAATCAATTTGCGAAACGCTTAAATTTTAAGCAACTTCTCCAAAAGATTAAAAATCAATATTTCAAGTTATTTCGTGAAGCGAATTGGTTGGGGAGCAGTTAATGTTTTCCTATGCAAATTAGTCATTTTGAAAAATATTGTTTTTTCTAAGTAAGCTACTCAAAAGATGAAACTTTGAAGCGATTCAACTTGTTTCATGCAACGAAGCGGCTGGCAACAAATTTAATTTTTTTGAGCGATGAAATAATTCTAGATGATTCATAGATCGAATCAGTTTGCAAAAGTTTTGAGTTTTTTAAAGCAAACTATTCGAACTAGGAAGCTTGTAACAACCCGTTTTACCCAGTGAAACCAAAATCTCAGATTTGAGAGGGTAGCTTTCGAGAAAAGTCAAAAAGTTTAAAAAATTGTTCAAAGGCCACAACCATGACTTTCCGAAGGTCATAACTTTTCTTGTAAAAAAATTTGGGCATAACCGCTAAAACGGGGATTTTTTCATATTTTGTCAATTTCATTGAACTCAAAATCTAAAATTTGCTAGAGTAGCAGTCGAGAAAAATTTAAAAAAATCACAAAAACATTCAAAAATCTACAATTTAAGGGAACAAGGGAATACGTCTGAGGGCATCACTTCTTATATCAAAAACTTGAGCGTAGCCATCTAAACAACCTGTTTGTTCCATTAAGCCCAAAATCTCAGATTTGATCAGTTAGTTTTTGAGAAATTGCAGAAACTCGAAAAACTTGGAAAGAAAGAAAAAACTAGAAGAATTTCTATAGTCACCCCATGCGAATTTTTGAAGGCTGTACAAAATGGTGTAAGGTATATAGAGACTTAAAAAACATGATGCAGGCACACAGGTGTGTATGCATACTTTTCATTGATACTACTTTTTTTTAAATCGTTTGATTAATGAAAACCCGTCGTCTTTTTTGAAAAAGTGATTTTTTTCAGGCCTTTTAAAAAACCAATTCTTATAGTTTTTCAATACCTGTTTTTTATCAAACAGGATTTGTCTTTCGGAAGCAAACTTTTTAGATTGGTTCAATAATTGTTCTGAAAAAAATCTGAGCTGATAACTAAGTTAATTTCCGCTGCTATTATTTATCGTTCTCCAAAAAAAACTTTTCCTTTTAACTTCTGAAAGAATATATGCAGAAAAAACCAAGCTGTTCGTATCAAGGAAACATTTTTAATGTTCCTTTCTGCCCTTCAATGTATGTGGTACAGTTTTGAAAACTTCGCCCACTATTCATGCTTATGAAAAGTGATGTTCTTAGTATTTAGTAAGCTAATAATATGGCACCCAGCTTGAAATGGGCGTAGCTGTTTGATAGTGTTTAAGTTTAATGTATTGATGCTGATATTGAGGTAATCCCAAAATTCAAGAATTGGGCTGCATAACAAAACCTTAGTTGCTTCTCTAAAAAAAAATAAGAATGGAAACTTTCATAGACTTTTTGGTGTAAAATGTTTGGCGTAGCCGTTTATGAACAAAGGTTTCCCCACAACCCTATGAAGTGCCTCGGTTAAACACTTGATATCAAATTCGGCTCAGTAGAATTGGAGACGAATTACAAAATTTTAATTTCCATGACTTTTCGAATGATATAAATTTTTTTTTAAATTGGGCTTGGCCAATAAAACAGGGGAACTTTCCATATTTTGTCAGTTCCTTTAACTCAAAACCTAAATATTGGTAAAAAAAAATTGTTCAGACAAGTCAAAAAGTATCAAAAACAGTCAAAATATTGAAAACTTGATTTTTCTGAGGGCCATAACTTCTTGTGTAGAAAAAATTGGGCATAGCTGATCATGCAGGGGAGCTTCCCGCTACCCGTTTTTTTTATTCAACCAAAAGTCTCAGATAGGGCCGGATAATTTTTAGAACCCAAAAACTCAGATTTGGGATTGTAGCTTTCAAAAAAAGTCAAAAATTTTGTTAAGAAAAAATTATCTTTTCCGAGGGTCATTCTTTTTTCTGTATAAAAACTAAAGCGTAGCCGGTTATGCAGATAAACTTCTCACAACCTGTTCTATCGATTGGAGCCAAAATCCCCTATTTTGAATGCAATTTTTGGAAACTTAATGACTTCTCTCGAAAACTCTTCTTCAAAATCAGATATTTTATGTTCAAACGGGTTTTATGTTGTGGAAAAATTGTTTTTTTTTAAGTCAATAAGCACAATTTTTGTCACAAGAAACAAAGTTACGACCATCAGAAAGTCATGTTTGTGACGTTTCGACAGTTTTATCAAACTTCTCACAAAAACTCACAAACATGACTGTTCCGAAGGTCAAACCTTTTCTTGTAAGAAATATTCGGCTTATTCGGTAGAAAAAACAAAGAATTTTTTTTAACCTGCCAACTTAATTGAACCTATAACCCCAGACTAGTTGAAGAAAACAAATTTAGAAAAAAAAACCGAAGTTGAAGAATAGTTCACGCGAAAGGTCAAAAAAATTCAAAAAACGGTCAAAAAATCAAAAAGTTGACTTCTCCGAGGGCAATAAACTCTAATTTTAAAAAAACGGGCGTAGTTTTTTATGCAGGTGAGCTTTCCACAACTTTTTTCCCCATTGAAATAAACCTCAGATTTGGGAGGGGTAGTTTTTGAGAAAAAAAAACAAAAAGTTTCAAACAAAGTCAAAAATCGAAAATTCTACTAGTACGAAGTATATAACTTTTGATTTAAAAAAATGGGCATAACGTTGATGCAGGGGGCTTCCAACAACCTGTTTTACTTATTGAAAGTAAAATCTCAGATTTGGGAGGATTGTTTTCGAGAAGAGACAAAAAAATTTCAAATAACGGTAAAAAAATCGATAGATTTGACTTTTTCGAGGGATTAAAGTTTTTGTGCGAAAAAGTGGTCGCAACCAATTGTAGGGAGGAGCTTCCCCAAACAGTTCTTCCGATTGAAAACGAAACATCAGATTTGAGAGGGTAGTTGTTGAGAAAAGTGGAAAAGTTTCAAAAACGGTCAAAAAGTCGAAAATTTGACTTTTCCTAGAATCATACCTTTTAATTTAAAAGACATTGGTCGTCACCGCTTATGCAGGTGAGCTTCTTAAAGCCCGTTCATAGTTTTTGTGACAAGTCAAATATGACAGAAAATAGTCAAAAATCGATAAATTTGACTTTTCCGAGAGCCATAATTTTGTGCAAAAAAAATTGGACGCAACCGCTTATGCAGAGAAGCTTCTAATAAGCCCGTTCTACACAAGGAAACCAATACATCAGATTTAATAGAGTAGCTACTGAGAAAATCTCAGATTTGGGAGAGTATTTTTTGAGAAACTGTTTTAAAAAATCAAAAAAAAAATTGAGAAAAAAATTTTTTATTGGAAGATCATAACTTTTTGTTTAAAAATTTGGGATTAACCGCTTACACAACTCGTTCTACCCACTGAAACCAAAATCTCAGATTTGGGAGGGCAGTTTATGAGAAAAAAGAAAAATAGAAAAATTTTCAAATAAGAGTTAAAAGCTTACCCCCCCCCCCCCTCCCCCACACACACACACATACTTTTTCGAAAGCTGTAGAAGGTGATGTAAGGTTAAAGCGCCTGAGGAATTATGCAGGCACAGAGGGAAGTGGGCAGACTTCCCATTGGTTGGTACATTTTTTGAAAATTGATAGAGTAGTGTTTGAGAAACACTACACGTTTTTTTTTTAAATGAAAAAATTTTTCAAACCGTCTAAAAAAAACAAGGAAAGATAGCCGGTTAGTGTGCAAGTAGCACAGAATTTTCCGAACATAGTCTGTAGAAACAACCTTTTTAAAAAATTTCATTACAAAATAGTGTAGTTTTTTCTGCTAGGTGTGATCTGACGTCAAAATATAACTTATAATATCAAAATATAAGGCATATTAGACAGTCATAGTAATTTTCTCGATAAAAGAAAACAATTTGCAGAATGCTCTAAGGTGGTTCGAATTAAGACTGAAAAGGCTTTA